TTTTCGGTTCGGTTTCTCACAGTGTTCGCATTAAAATAATATAAAATATTGAAATAAATTTTCAGGCTGTCGGTTTATTAAATTTAATTGGAAAATCTTTGAAAATAAAAAATTCGGGTTGTTTCAATAACAATAAAAAAATGTCATTGTTTTTCCTTTCTTTAAATTTTTGTTATATATACTTAATTAAATATTACAAGTTAATTTTATATTCCAAGTGAGTTATATTTTGGACTTTAGATTTTGTAATGAGAGTGAGAAAAATAAATTTATTAGTACTATTGCTCGTTATTTATCTGATTTCAAATTTAATGATTCAAATTTGCAATATCACTGCAAGAAAAAACCGAAATAGCAATGGAGTAGAAATGGTTCAGAAACGCAATTGAATTTTAAATCTTTGCTGAATTTAGAAACGGTATATCTAGAAACGGAAACTTTTTTTGTCTAAAATGGTTTAGCACGATTTTTGTCATTTAGAAACGGTTCTGCAGTCAATGTTATTTATTATTATTATATGCTTTAACATGATGGAACAAAAAATGGAGTATTGGGTAGGCATGGCCACCAGTTCATTTTGAACCAGAATCAAACCATATTGGAGATGAATTGAAACTGTCAGTTCAAAGTTTTGAACCAGAATTGGTGGTTTAAGGGCCGGTTAAGGTTCATGTGAATATTAAAATCTGAACTTGAACCAATATTGAACCAGCTGTTTCGGTCCGGTCCGAATTGAAAATTTTCTATTTTTATTTCAAAATGATAATTACTTAGCCTATTTTATACATTTCTAAAAGTTCCAATAATATTTTATTATATGATATACTTTACTTAAGATTTTTTTTTAAATGCACTTTACTTTAAAAAGTTAAAAATCTAAAAGGTAAAATAATAAAGAATGAGAGAAATATTTAGTCTAAACTTATATTGTTTTTAACTTTTTTTTTTTTACTTTTTTAAATTGTTTACTAAGTTTAAAATTACACTATTTTAAAGCATTTTTCAAATTTTTCTTATAATTTATTTTCTTATAATTATGTTAATAATAACAATTTTAAACCAAAATAAAGTGATTAATTTATTTGATTTGTTTTTGTAAAATTAATTAATTATTCTTATATGAGTACTGAGCATTCTAAAATTTATTTAAAATTAAAATTTACCAATATTTTATACTCTTATATATTTTTCAAAAAGAAAGATAAAACGTATATAACCGATTATTTATTTGATTGTTTTGTAAAATTAATTAATTTTATTCTTATATGAGTATGAGCATTCTAAAATTTATTTAAAATAAAATTTACCAATATTTTTTATACTCTTATTAATATTTTCAAAAGAAAGATAAAACGTTATAACCGATTGTTTTAAAAAATACGTATCGCCGAAAACTGTGATAGGAACAGCACCGGAATCGGCTAGAACCGAACCCGATCCTAGACCGGCGGTTCAAGGGCCGATTCAGGTTCAACATTTTAAAAATTTTAAACTGCCGTGAACTGGAACTAGCGGTTCAATGAACCGGACATGTCTAGTATTGAGAGCTATTATCAGTGCACACGGTGCGTTTTTATTTTGATTGTGATTTCAGGGTTTGAATTTTGTGCATTTGATTGATGAAAGGTGGTTTTTTCATATGGATTTTAGTTTTTCTGGATGATAAAATTTAATAGGTCTGTGTAAAATTGAGTTGGGTAAAGATGGTTTAAGAGAATTAGATTTATTTTATAGAGAATATTGAAAGAAAGTGGAAGCCATTAGAGCTCTTCTTTCTTGGCTTACTGAAATTATGAAGGAAGAAGACGAGGCAAATGAATCTTTCCTTTCTATTTTCATATTAAATTCACGTGATCAGCAATTTGTTCTTTACTTCATATGCTAACAAGACAAAAAGTGGGCCTAACCTAAATTCGTCTTCTTCAGCAATTCAGTCAATCAAATAAGCCCAAGATATTTAATTGCAATGTTTAAATTGGATTGCAAATTTTTCCAATAAAAAATAAAAAATAGCAAAAATACAAAAGCTTAAACACCATAATTAACCCTTCAAATAATGAAGCAATTGCTTCCTCCATTCCATCAAAATTATTTCTCTGGGCTTAACTAAAAAAAAGCTTATTCGAGTTAGTTTGATAAATTTCAGCTATGTTCCGCAGCAACTTTTCAATTAATTTTTAACGTTTTTATCAATTCAAAACTCTAATTCGATAAAATAACTTTTAGAGGTTGAAAATTTTTTATCAAACGTTAAACACTATAATGTTTGGCTTTTTGATTAAAATTTTTTTGATAATCATACTCGTTGTCTTTTCCTCCGAATTCAACTAATTAAACAATTAATATTATTTTGTCATTTTAAGTTAAACAATTAATTAAATAGGTGTTTGGTCATTTTAAGTTAACTGACTAATTAAATAGGTATTTTTACCAAACACTTCTAATTTAAAATACTATATAAACAGTTATCAGCTAATATAACGACTCTGTTCGGCAAGAGCGTTTAGAGTAGTATTTAGTGTTCTAAGTGAGTTAAAACACTATTTTAATTAATTATAATGTTCGGTAACGTCACATCTATCCTAACGTTTAGAGTTTGAAGCATGAAACTTTATAACATTTAGTGTTTTATAAAATTTTTATTAAACATATGTCCATCACTTGTCTTTATTAAACAACAACAATAAATAATAGTTATTAAAACAATTAATATTACCGAACAAATCTTTAATGAGTCGAGCTTGAGCTTGAATTTTGAATTCGAGCTTATAAGAGAATAAAACTTTTTTTTTTTTGTTTTAAGTATAAATTGTAAACAAGTCAATTTAATTATTTAAATTAAAAAATAATTAACACTTAATTGATTTTTTCAAATTACTAATAAAATAGAAAAAAAAATTAAATTACCATTTAATAGAATGAAAGGAGTAATAATGTACACTATCAATGGTAAGTCAAGTCGTAGATTTTCTTGTTATAGTATTAAAAGTTGACTCAAGTAGTGAGAATCTATTTTCCGTCATGAACAACATTGAGACCAGATTTAAAGAGCTTGCCTCCATACCAACTTTTTTTTTAAGGGAAAGTATTATTTAGTCTCTCTAATTTTTTCAAATTAACTATTTGAGAACCAATTAAAAGGTCATCTTATTTTGATTTCGTCCAACTAAAAGGTTCATCGTTCTTTATGAGACCTTTTTGCCATGAGTTTCATACGAAAAGACGAAGATGCCCTCCCATCAAAACAATCTATAACACTATTCTCATCAAGTAAATCTCTCTTCAGTCCCTAGAGGCTCCATCTTCTCTACCATTATTGACAGAGGAAGATATCCTGAAATTGCTTATTTTAGATCCCATAATTGCACATTTAATCTTGTCGGAATGCGAAAATATTGTCAAATATGTCCTAAATATAATGATTCATTTCTTTTCTGCTTAATTCCACTTATCATACCTTAACTATACACCATATTACATTGGCATGCCTAAATTTTAATTTGTTATGTAAAAATGTATAAACTTTAATTGATATTATATAAAAAGATATCTTTTAGTTTTTCTGTTGGAGAGTAGACCTGAGTGCTTTTAAAGCTTTTAAAGCATTTTAAATAAGAAAACCTGCCACCTTAGCCTTAACTTTTGACTTTTTCTCTCTTTCTCTCTCTCTTAGTACCAAATGCATCTTCTCGCCATAATGGTAAATATTAGTAATATCCTTAGAACTTGCTTTCTCCTTCTCTGTTTTCTTCTATCTTCTCATCCTCAAAACTTTCTTTCTCTCCTCACTGTAATTATTATTCAGATTCTATATCTTGTGATTCTACATCTTGTGTCTCCAGGAAGGAAGGTTAACGAAGGAGGTGAGTTTAGTACTAAGAGATAGAGATATTAATAAGAGAGATAGAGAAAGTCAAAAGTTAGGGCTAAGGTGGAAAATCTTTTTATTAACGGATGCCTTTTCATATAACATCAATTAAAGTTTGTATAATTTTTTTCGTAATATTAATTAAATTTTAGACACGTCAATGTAATATGGTATATAATTGAGATAGGACGAGTGAAATTAAACCCTTTCTTTTCTCATATTGTAATTGTTATTGCAGTTGTTGCTTCTTTCTCTTCTTCTCATAAGTTGTTGCTCTAGCTTTATCTTTTGCGTCTCTCACTTCCTTAAGATAAAGTTTAACGACGCATGCACCTAATAAATTAGTCTTAAACAATCCATCATTGATAAGGAGCAGGTGCATGATGGCGGCCAAAGAATGGACAAGTCTGGTTATACACTTTAGTCTTACCAAATTGGTCTATTTTAAAATTCAAGGACATGAGCGTCGCTGCATTGCGACAGAGCTAATGGTGATCGGTGGTTTCTTAAGAAAAGAACTTCGGATTGCGGCGAGACTAATGTATTATTGCATAGGGTATCTTGTGTATTTTTTTCAAATTAAAAATGAATATTCTCGGAATAATACTCAATTTTAATAAAATAGCACATAATTTTTTTCCTATATTATAAAAAAATGCATTAAAATTGGAAGAAGTGGTATTGTTCAGCCCTCCATTGTCTTCAAAAAAAAAAAAGAAGAAGTGGTATTGTTGTAACAAAGTGTAATTGGCTTGTAAAAAAAGAAAATATGGTAAAAGATATGCAAAAATGTTTAGTACAAGTACCTCACCAACCAAAGCTTCTCAACTTTATTATGACATTTTCTTAGTTACCTTTCCACTCCCTTACCCAAAGCCTTCGCTTTCTTACCCGGATCATTTAACATCCAAACAATATTTCTATATCTAACCACATGTTGTCTACTAAATGACTATTATACCCTCCAATCACTTCCCCAACTCTCCAAAATGGCCTGACCTTTTTCGTCCACCCAAAATTAAAAATATCAACCGGACAAAAACCCACGCAACGAAAACCTGACACTTGACACTTAACACTCCACACTCCCTCATTTACTTCCTGCATAATGACTATTTTACCCTCCCATAATATTTTGTTTGCCATACTTATCCTCTCCCTGTTCTTGTCCTCTTTCGTGCACCCAAAACACGAGGGACAACTCCGATGACCGGAACTGTTCAATCAAATGACGAAAATGTCCTCACTCTAAATACATTAACGAGAAAATCCCCGTAATTTTGAGAAAAAGAAAGTTCTTTTCCGTCCACTCACTAAATTCCCTTTCCCTTTTGTCCCTCCTCTTCCCTTGACCTAAAAAAATTAGGAAAAAAAAAAAAAACTGTAGAGAGAGAGAGTCTTGAGAGAGAAAGCAAAAAAATGGATGGTAGCAATTACAGGATAGAAGCGGAGCGGTGGCTTACCATAGCGGAGAAGCTGTTAACGGCACGCGATTTTCAAGGAGCCAAGACTTTCGCGATACGAGCACGAGAGTCTGACCCGAGACTGGTAGATTTCTCCGATCAAATAATCGCCGTTGCCGACACTCTTATCGCCTCAGAGTTAAGAATCATAAGCTACAACGGCGGTGGTGGCCATGACTATTACGCGATCCTACAACTTCCAAGATTGTCTCAGTCTATGGAACTCGTGGCAACTCAGTATCGTAAGCTTGCTTTGCTTTTGAATCCTACAAGAAATAGATTGTCATTTGCTGATCATGCCTTTAGGCTTGTATCTGAGGCATGGATGGTGTTCTCGAATCCGTCTAAGAAGGCAATGTACGATCACGATTTGCAGATGAGTCAGCTGGGACAACTCGGACAACTTGGACAACTAGGGCAACTGGGTATGCCTGGTCAAGAGTTTCCACAGGGGCAAACATCGCAAGGAAATGTAAGAAGAAGCCCTAGGATTAGTCGGGAAGAGGATAACATGGCTCAATCGGAGACAAATCGGTCAACTCGTTTTGAAACTCAGCCGAGAATGGCTGAGCCGCCGAGAATGGCTGAGCCGATTAGGCCTATAGCTCAACATAAAGTCACTGAGCTGCCTATTCGACCTGAGCCACCTATTCGTCCTGTACCCCAGCCTGTAGCTCAACCTAAACCAAGTGAACCAATTCGTCCTGCCCCGCAGTCTGTTGCAACTGAGCCAAGCAGACCGGCTGCTCAGCCGAAAGCATCCGAGTTGACTCGGCCAGTTCCCCAGTCGAAAGTTCAAGAATCAACTCGGCCAGCTACCCAGCCTACTAGTGCTGAGCCAACACGTAAAACTCGGTCGGGAACTCAGTCTAATGCTACTGAGACCCAGGTACCAAGTTTCTGGACTGCATGTCCGTACTGTTTCATTCTCTATGAGTACCCGAAGGGTTATGAGGAGTGTGCGGTTAGGTGCCAGAAATGTAAACGAGCGTTCCATGCTGTAATAATACCATCACCGCCAGTGACAGGTAAAGACACGTACTTTTGTTCTTGGGGGTTTTTCCCATTGGGATTTTCCGGTCGCGGTAAAGGCGGAGGCGGGTTTGGTACTAATTGGTCACCAGTATCGGCGATGTTTTCCACTCCCCTTCCAGGCGGTGAGAAATCAAAGCAGAATAATCAATCAAGGAGATCTGAGCCAAAAGTGATTTACAAAGATGATGTGTATATAGATCTTTCTGACCCTAGTGAGTCTGATTCCGATGATGATGATTGGGACAATAGAAGAAAGAAAGTGAAAAATGCCAAAGGGAAAGCAACCCCCACCAGAAATGTTAAGAAATCACAAAATGATAGGGCAAAAAAAGTGAATGCTCAAAATGTGGATGGTGGGCGTCATGTGCAAGGAGAAGTGGTAGGAAAAGGAGAGGGTAGTAGTGGGAAGAAGAAGGGAGCAAAGGACCTGGGAAAGTTGGATTTAAATGTAATGTTTAGCAATGAGGTAGAGGAGGCAGTGCCAGGAGTTAGTGAAGGGAATGGAGCAGGGAATGGGGAGGAGGATAATATTGAAGGGATTTCGTTTTTTGAAGGTCTTGATGAGTTTTTGAGTAGCTTGCCAATACTCTCTGTTGTTGGGGAAGACAAGGTCAAGGCTAGTTAGTGAAGTAAGATCCTTCCTTCTGTGTTACTTTTTCTGTTGTTTTTTCTCCCTTTTTTGTGTAGGCTGTTGTTGTATGGTTGTAGTAATTAATCATGGAGAGGTACCAGCATTTTCATTGCACATTTGCCACGGTGTATATTTTGCTGGAATTTTGCTTTCTCTATCTCTTAACTTTCTGAAATGATTTACTTTTTCGCAGTTTATCATATTCATGCTGTTGTAGCAAGATTGATTGTGAGCTTCAACTTTTAATGGTCAACTTAGAGAAGTCAATGCATCAAAGTAGAACAAAGTCTTTATGTGTTACGTATCCTTGAATATGTTAAAAAAGAAATTTCTTCAGATGTCAAGGATGCCTTCTTTTTTTTTTTTAAATAACTAAGGTTTCAGTTTCTTTTAAAAAGTTGCCCTGGTTGCTGTTACCTTTTTGAATAATTTGGCTTCAAATATATGTTGTTTCATTGTCTAGATTTTAAATATTTACTCATTTGCAGATGTGCTAAACTTAGAACAGTATGGATGAAGATGATGTTGGTTTTTTAAGATGAGTTATTTTTATCCTCTTCTCTTGGTTGCACCATAGGTTTGTTTTGGACCATAGTCCTTAAACAAAATAAATTAATAAATGGAAACTTAAAGGTGGCAGGTAAATAGTTTATTTTCAATAGAAAAACAATGTCTCTAGTGCAACATACTATACATTATGTTAACTGCTGTGATTCGGATAAAGTAACATAATAATATTTATTTCTATGAGATAATTATACTTTAGGATCTTCTGCTATACATTATGTTAAACTGCATTATGTTAACTGCTGTGATTCGGATAAAGTAACATAATAATATTTATTTCTATGAGATAATTATACTTTAGGATCTTCTGTACCTTACTTTAATATTAATTCTGAACAGTGCAGTAGCCAAAATAAGATGGGGTGACTTTTACCTGTTCTTGGATGTTAATCAAGCAACCAAGTGAAAATATTTTTTTCATTAGAAATGGAAGAAAATTATTCCTCAGAAGTTGCGTGTATATAAGGAGACTATTCCGGTTGCTGAATGCAAGGCTTCCAATGTGGATTTGTAGCGACATAGTTGCTTGGTATCTATAACGTATATATCCAAGGGCTCTATTTCTCTTGCTCTCGTAGCAAATGGTTGCAGATATGGTATACAAAGTATATGATGTTATTTGATAATACACTCATATGTATGTAGATGATACTATTCGAATACAGACCAGAAACCTAATTCTCAAAATGCAAAGGCTGAAGCAGGAAATTTTGAATAAAAGATGGATCACATGATCTTATATTGTGTAGTTTTTGAAGCTTTGCCTCTAAAATAAGGTTAATATTGTTGAAAGGGATGTAAAGGACCGAGCACTGCCCTACCTTAAATTAAGTCATGTAAAATTTGCTAAACTGGTGTGCTTGAAGGTAGGTTTTTGCCTTAATTGATGTTTTAATGATTGCATTTCCATTGTTGGAGCTGCTGCTCATCTGTTACTTTCATTCTTGGCTATTAAACTTTACCATGGACCTACTTATTGGGCTTATTTCAAGCATTGTCACGGTTATGTCAGCTGTGTTGGATATGTGTTTGGCTTTCTTGATAGAGCATTCGCTCTGTAGAGCATTGCTTCTTGCTTTGCTGTTCTATTTGATGCTTCTTTGCTATTGTTGCACCTAAACCTGGAAACTTCCAATATCCAAGTTTAAAGGCAAGTGGTTTCATTACCTTTCCTAATATGACACTCGAGCATATTTAAATATGTAAGGATTATTCACTTTAGCATGATCGAGGAGTGCTCATTTGCTATTCAACTTTCTTTGCTGAAGTTGAATCCTTAAGAGAAAAGGTCGCAGAAGAGGTTTCACTATAATTTAAACTAATGACAAATCATTTGTTGTTTTAGAGCATAAATTTTTTATTTGTTAAGGCAGAGCATGCAGTTTAATTTTAAGGTCCGGCCAACAAATTCAGACCATTATATGTGCTCCAAGTCTCCTTCTAGTGTGATTGTTCACGTTCCTGTATCTCCACTAGAACAAATAGGTCTTCTATCAGTGAGTCCAATATGATGAAAATTCACATCTTATAGCAGCTACTTGGTGAAGTGGAAATAACTTATCCTCAACTAAAGGTACTTGTATAAAATACTTCTGTATTTTATGATGTATTTTTGTTGAATAGTCATTTTGTTTCATGCTTATTCATTTTCATGGTTGGCAAAGTGTCCAGCACATGCAACAGCATTTGTACTATTTAGTAGCGCAAAGGCGGTGATTCTGACTTTTGTTTTATTGGCTACTCATGTATTGTGCACATGCATAAGCCCATGCATTGTAGGTGTATGGTCCCATTGCTCGCATTAGTGTGCCATTAGCATATGTTTTCTTTTGGTCTGTCTAATGATTTTTTTTTTTTTTTTTGCCAGCAATGTTGTTTTACCAACGACATTCCATTAGCATCCCATTAACGAATTATGCATTCGCTCTGTATTTTACTTTACCTGGCCTTCCTTTGCTTGAATTTCATTTTCAATGGTTTGCATTCTCTTCACAAATCGATTTAGCAGCTACTTGGTTGAAGTGGAATTAACTTTACCTCAACTAAAGGTACTTGTATAAAATACTTCTTTGATGCTATTTTTTGTTGAATAGTCATTTTGTTTCATGCTTTATTCATTTTCACGCCCGTTGGCAAAGTGTCCAGCCGGACAATGCAACAGCATTGCCCACAGTTATTTATAAAATTGCAATCGTCGTCATTTTCTTATATCACTCTATGCCCTTACTTGAGATTTCGTAACAGCTGCTTTTAAGGACATAGTTCTGTTAACTTTGCTAAGCAGAGAACTCATTTCGTGTCTTTTAAGTCAGTGATCATTAAACCAATATTAGCAGCACATGTTTACCTGGAAGCTAAATATTCCCATTTAGTTTAGTCTATATTCCAACATTTGGCGTAACTAAACATTTACGGGGTCAAACAGAACATAGTAACAAATCTCATCATTTTGTCTTATGAAAGCGACTTACAGTGTTTAATTTTTTCGCTCCCTAAAATTAAGAACCAACATATTAATATTAGTCAAGCCTTGGGTATTTTTGGTTATTATTTTGAAATTTCAAGGCATTTGATAGCGGATCAATCATTATGCTGGTGAAATCAGTCTGAATTTATTTGTTTTTGAATGAATATTCATTTTCCTGAGATGCTGCTGCTGCACCCTTTTTATACTTTTAATGTACATTGATTTATACTGTTCATTCCCAGCTTCCAATTAAAATTGAACCGCCAGATGCGCTATGCACGCGCTGCGAGCTTCAAGTGGCGCGTAGCCCTACTTAAAATTAAATAATTATTTCATGTTTATAATTAAATTTATTGCCCAGATAACTGCAAAGCTGATTCACATCCTCAAAATACTGCATTATGAATCTTTATTGCATTTGCAACAAGCTGGATCATGCTCATTTGGCTTTTGATTATTTGTTGTAGTGTCTTACATTACATTCTTACTACTTAAATACTCCTTAGCTGCCAATACGCAGAAGCTTACCGCGAAAAACTGCATACTAAGATTGGCTTACTATGTTTCTGGAGAAGAATCAATCTGCAGGTGCATGGACGACACATTGATGAAAACTAGCTCTCGGAGCGCAACATCATGAAGTTATGCGCTGTCTCTGCAGACCAATTGCTTGGTCTACATCTGTCAATACAATCTAAGCCCTTAGCTCTTGCAAAGCTCGTGTTTAACTGTTTTCAGACATTGCATAGAATTTCAAGCTACTACAAATGCCTCGTTTGCAGAAGTGGGCAAAAACTTTTCTACTGAAATATGTTTTGCCTTGCCTTTGGCAAACTATGGCCAATAATGAGCTCCCAAAACGTTTGCAACCCGATCGAGGTTTCTCTAGCTTTCAAAGGCTTCTTTCTTCTCTTGCTTCTAAGCGAACAATACACAAGTTTTGTAATTCCCCGTTGTTGGTTGCGGGTATTGCCTTTGATAAACAGTACTATGGTCACGCGTCTGGTATTTGATAAGAGTTTATTTTGAAATAATTTGTAGCTAGAAACAGCTAAAAAGCAGTTTCATGCTGAACGGCCATTCTAGAATGGAAATTTTCCAATCATAATGCCAATTTTGTGTTCCACTATCCAAAGTGGTGCAACACTACAGCCTAGATTAATCTGGCAAATCATTGCCCACCATCTATCATTTGTCAATTCGGTATTATTAAAAAATATATAAGCTATTCGCATAAACATTCAACCATATAGCGCCGTGCGGGCTCGACTTGATGCAACATAGACATCTCTAAACTGACTGCCGCGAACCTCTAAATTCTGCTCAGCGATGTACGTCCACCTGCCGTTAATTCAAGGGCCAACAAAATTTTAGGCGCGCCCCTGAAGTCTTATATTTTTAGCCCTCAGGAGATGCAGCCTCGCCGCCCATGTCCACCACCTTCAGTTGTTAAACTTCTTTCTTTCAATTTGGCTAAGTGTCATGTTTTATTTCAATTTTTTTTTCACACTTGTTTTCATATCCATTTACGAACATAACAAGCTAATAGGAAATACTATGTGCCAATGATATAATATATGCCGAATAATTAATTGATTTAGTCGCATAATTCCTTGTAAAGCAAATTCTTCTGCAATTTTTTTTATTTATTTCGCTATTGTGAAAGCATATTTTGCATTTGTTCACATGTCAATCAAAAAATAAAATTGGATGAATTAACGCATCAAACTTTCAATGCTGGTATATCCTTTAACTCTCTCTATATTATATATTGCTAACTTTCTTTTTAAGTCGTCTCTTTTACGACTATGATCCTCCTTTTTCTCAAAATAGTAATTCGTTGTGAGTAATTTTAAGTTAGTAATAAATTAGTATCTGTTTTCCCTGATATTACCTTATATTTATATAGAATAACTAATTTTAGTTTGAGATCAAATGATATGTAACCTTTAAATTATCATTTGATTTTGTCTAAAATTAGAATAATAATTAATTACCTTATTTAATTCCTGTGTAAACATTCATAAGCATTTAAATTAAACACTCAGGACCTCAAACATTAAAAAAATCATTTATTCATTGTTTAATATTAAAAAGTATATAAGTATTTTTACCACTATAATTTTTTACTTATTTATCTTACAAATAACCATAATTATTATACTATAACTTTATTAGTATATATCCCAAAATAGTATAAAAAAAAAAATTATGAATAAAAAAGTTTTTTTTTTTTTTTGAAAGGAATATGGAGAAGTATTGCGTGTAATTATATGGGACATTGTCATTTTTCTGTCCTATTTGCTCCATCTTCTATTTCCATTTTGAGGTTATTGGCATCTAGGCCTGAGGTCCCGATGCATTATGCATGTGGGCGCTCCACTTTTTTTTTTGTCTTTTTGAAGAAAAATTATTGCCTAATACTTAAATGTAGAGTTTCAATTTTAAAATAGAAATAAAAATAAAATAAACCAAAATTAGCATTTTAAAAATGAAATCAATTTAAATTGTCAAAATATAATTAGCAATCAAAAACCAATTCAATCGGTGAATTTTGAGTTTTAGTTGTTTGCCGGCTTTATTTTTAGTTTGATTTTGAATATATTTTTATGTTCATAGAACCGGAAAATGATAAAAAACATAACCAAATTCAACTTGGAATCCGGTCAATGTTAATCGATTCCAACCCGATGCTATTCGACTCCAAACCTATTGTGTGGACTCATCTTATAAGTGTTCTTAAATCATCTCAAACATGCTTCAAATTAAATTAAAATTGAAATGGAATTTTTAAAATTAATGACAATTTAGTTTGATTTGAAATTTTTCAAACCGCTAAATATTAGTCTAGGGTTATTGATCTCACGAGGAGTTAATTACCGCAAAATTGAACCAAACAAACTTAAAATTATATAGATAATTAATAAAATAAATAAATATATTAATTTTTGACAATATTTTTTTCTTATTCATTCATTATATTGAAATAATGATATATTTAATCTGTTATTTAAATTTTAATTTTAAAGCTCAATGGATTTATTTGCACTTATTTTGCCTTAAAAAAAAAAAAAAAAGAAAGTTAAGGGCGATAACTATAATAACATTTGATGTTGTTAAGGAAACTTTGTGATAATATTGGAAAACTACAAATAAAAGAAATTGCACAAGATGATTAGAATAATAATTTATTTATTTTGATTTATTATTTTATATTGGATTGTAAAAAATTCATTGAAATTTAATTTTTTCTTTTTTTTTTAAATTGAAATTAAGGAACCAGGCTCCTGATATTGAGAGTGCCAAATATTTTTTTTCTACTATTTTTTTCCCAA